GAATCAAACCCAGGATACTAGCCATAAGCTCACCATATTTCCGAGAAACCGCCAGCGCTGAAAGAAAAGGATAAGATTGCAAACCCGAGAGAAAATTTCTGAACCACTGACGCCATGGCCTAGATAGTTAGTATTCAGACGATGGCTAATGATTGACCGATTACGCCGCCTCTCTTACTACTACTCCAGTAAGTATAGTAGGTATCGGTACTTACACCCCCTCTCCTGGTAATCGTACCGTACGGTCATGACAGGTACGTCATCCCAGCAAATGAGAAATAAATGAAGACTCGGCTGAAGGGGGCAGACCGCATTACCTTACTACCAAGTACTTACTTAAACTAGTCAACTAATAAGATAATAATCCCTGCTGGATGGAGTGAGTGTGTCCTATCGAAGTGTTCTCCTTCCAAGTACCCCAGACCCTGTCCGCATCTGCAGGCGCAGCCATTAGCTGCAGAAGGTCAGGTACTACAAGAGTACTATGTAACTGTTAGTTGGGCATGGCATTACTTTCCATATTAATTTGTCTATTTCAATATCAAAAAAATCACCACAGCACCAATTCGAATACTACGTTAGGGGAGACTGGCCTGGCAGTCGTGCCCGACCAGTTCTCCCCCCCAATCCACCCGTAAACTAACTAGTAACAGCTACATATTAGCTAGAACGAACGCACCGATCTCAAGTGTCTTTCCTGCTTGCTTACTTACTTACGTTAACTAACCCCAGAGGCGTTCCAATCTTGGCCCTCCACTCGTATAAATGGAGCCTTCGTTTAGAATGGACCAAGAAAAGCCACCCCATTCTCCATCTTGATTGGACCTGACTCCTGAGTTGCTAAATTGGTCGCGAACGGTAAGAATAGCACCATCGTAGTAGTTAAGTCAGATTGATTCCTGATTGCCTACTATCTCTCTACTTACCTATGCTTCTATGTTCAAATTCGGGATCACTACTACTCAACTAACAACCCAGCGAGCTTTCCCAATCCATACTACCAAATACTGATTCATCTTACCTACTACTTAGCTAGCATTGATAGTATGGACATGAACATGGCCAGACCAGACCAGGGTATCTTCTCTATTTACTTACAATTACTATTACTACTATCACCCCCCTCGCACAAGTCAGATCGCATCGCAAATTCGATCCCAGCGCAGCAGTAGAAGCAATGCTTAAATGTGTTCAGTCCTTCTATCCACATACATACATACATAACGCACATACATACATAACATACAGCACAGCAGCAGCATAAAATCACCAGGTGATAAGAGTTATGATGATCAGATAGCCCAAAGCACGGGGAATGTGGACAGTGCGTATGTATGGCACTTGACATTGAGCGCATGGATCATCTTCATTACTATCCTGAATCATAGCTTCTCTTCCCACTCCTGATAAATGACAGACACCATTGATTAGAGCAATAAGGAAGGAAACCCGGCAAGGAAGGGAAGAATCAAACAAATATAAGAGATAAAAATGATAATCAGAGGGACGTGCGCTGTGTTTTTCTTTTGCTTTCTTTTCTTGCTTTTTCGCTTTCTTGCTTGCTTGCTAACTAGCTAACTAGTCAAAAAAGCACAGGCCTGGGTTCGGCTGGTCCAAGCGATGTGGATGTGGAAGCCGGCTTTGAACTTAAATCTGAGAATAAATAGCCAGACAACTGAAATGCGCCTGGGCGAGGAAGGAAGGAAGGAAGGAAGGAAGCGGTCGGTCAATCAATCAATCATAGTTAAATCAAATCAATTCAATTTGGAGGAAAGGAACCGAAAGATAGGTGGTATAAGTACATAGTAGTAAGCGAAGCAAATCCCTCCGCACGGAACTTGGTAACTACTAACTAGTGGTTCGAGAGTTACTCGATTGATCTGTGTGCGCATGAAATGGAAGTATGTGTGTGGTAGGTAGTCTAGTTTAATTTATGTTGGTCTACGAGACTGGAAATGCTAGTCTGGGCCTTTAGATCTAGAACATCCCCGATCTTCTTGTCTTTCTTTCTCTTGTCTTTTTTCTCGGATCGGGACAACCGGCTTCGACCATAGTACATCATCAACCAAGGAAGGATGGATGGATGGGTCAAAGGAACGCTCCAAAAAAATTTAGAGAAACAAGTATAGAAAGAAAAAAAAAAAAAGATGAAACCCCAAAAAATAAAAGAAAATATAAAAACGGCAGGACTACTTAAGTACCGCTGATCCAGGAGAACAGATTGGAAGAGAAAGAAAAAAGAAAATAGTACCCTATTCCAGCCCTTTTATTCAGCGTTTGTAACAAAAACTCCCTGCCTCCAAAGCCGCTTTTGTTTTTCCTTCTCCTCCTTCGCCTTCCTAAAAGAGGATCGCGCATCACACAGATTTGAGTAGTAGTAGATAGAAGAGAAGCAATCCGATCCATACTGACTCCATGGTGTCTATCCCATCCAGGCTTCCGTCTTCCAGACGAGTGATCGTGCTGAAATTCCAGGGCGGCGTTCGCCAGCTTCTTCTTGCTGCCCGTGCGCACCTCGTCTTCCCCCAATCACAATCCTTATGGCATCTCACGGAAATATGTCACAAGGGCCGGGCCTCTTGGACCTGATACTTGGCGAAGCAGCCCCAACACCGCTGCCGATTTCGATTCCCTATTCGAGTCCGATTTCGATTCGCCATAGCTCTCGCCCCGTTCATAAAAGCGGATCCTTCAAGGATTGGATTCGCGCTCCAGTAAAGACTCATTTACCGCTTGACAATCGACACTGCAGTTCACACCCCCGCTAGTTAGCCCTGGAGATCCTAATGATCGCGTGTTTGAGGTTGAAGCCAAAGAAGAAGTACGAACCGATATCTTCGTCTGCCAGCTCGTGTGACAGACCAACACGCTGCGGCTGGTGCTTCACGGAGCGACCATACACAATAGCGTGCTTGAACTGGTCCTTGATCGTCCTGTGAATTTGATTACACTGATTGCGCGTCAGCGGATCCCGTCTAACAAGGATGGTCGGACCTGCCGAGGTAAAGGGAGCCTTACGAAATCCTCGACCGTGCAAGCATGCGCTCTGAGCACCACGGGGGCCGTGTAATCGGGTGCCTTTCCTTTAGGCTTGGTGTAGATGCGTCGGAGGTTGAGCTTTGCCCACATCATCTCCAAAAGTTCGTCGATGTTCCAGCCATGCTCAGAACTGATCGGGCAGGCGTTAGGTATCCGGTACAGCAAATCCAACTCCTCAATCGTAATAGCGTCAATCTTGTTCAGGGCATAGACGACGGGAATGTAAGCCCGACTCTTAGCTTCAAGAACATCAATAAGGTCATCAATCGTTGCGTCACATCTAATGGCGATGTCTGCCGACGAGATCTTGTACTCGCTCATGACAGCTTTGATTTCCTAATGATTCAAGTCAGCCCGAGTGCACGTCCCCGTACTCTGTGTTCTGGAAACCCACGTCGTGATCGATATGCGTCAGAGGAACGGTGCTTGTGATGGCAATACCACCCTTGTCCTTCTTCTTGAAAGTGATGTTGGGCGGCTGCTTGTTGATACGGATACCAAATCCTTCCAATTCATTCTCGATGACCTTCTTGTCGACTAGCGGCTTGTTGACGTCGAGCACGATGAAAATGAGATGGCAGGTCTTGGCCACTGCAATGACCTGTCGACCACGACCTTTACCATCTTTGGCACCCTGAATAATACCAGGAAGATCGAGAATCTGAATCTTGGCACCGTTGTACATCACTTGACCAGGGACAGTCGTCAAAGTCGTGAACTCATAAGCAGCAGCTAGACAAAGTACCGTTAGCACCGTACCATTGACTGGGACTTGCCTGCAACGAACCTTCGGAATGTTGGCCAGTTAATCTGCTCATCAAGGTACTCTTTCCGACGGACGGGAAACCAATGAAACCACTATTCAGAGTCAGTATATATCCCACACTCTAAGACTTGTCATGCGACATACACACTAGCAACACCGGTACGGGCGACATCGAAACCAGCTAGCAATCCAATAGTCAATAACTGACAAATCCATTCGATACAGTCACTCTCCACTTACCACCACCGCCGCCACCACCACCGCCAGTCGGAGTCAACAGCTCTCGCTTCAGCTTAGCAAGCTTGGCCTTCAACTGTCCTGCACGATACCATCAGCTCTGTCTGTTCTCGAACCACCTCCAAATCCATTCGTCTCATACCCAAGTGATAAGCCGTCGCCTTGTTCTTCTGAGTCCGAGCCATCTGAATAACCGATCAGTATACGAATTCCGGCGCAAGATAATTTTAGCGGGCATTCGGCGCGAACCTCGTCCTCGACTTGTTTGATCTACATTTGTACACACAAAGACAGTCAGCATAATCCAGTCTGATATTATAACTTTCAATATGGACAGTAAAGAGAAATAAAATAGAGCAATAGTGGCGGGTTATCCAACCTTCTCCACGGTTGTCGACATTTTGGCGGTTTTATACGAGTTTCACCCCTCGCACACGGTACAAAAAAGAAAAGAGACTATGCAAGACAAAAGAAAGAAAATCAAGGAAATCTAAAATTGTAGGATTTCCGCCCTAGTGATCGAAAACCCTTTTTCAACGGTGTCGTGGTGAGAAACCTGAACGAAAACGCTCGCGGTATGTCAGTCGCAATGGTGGAGATACAATCTTTGAAATTGTGGCCGCCACTTCATTTGTCCGTTTGCTTCGTCACATGGCGGGGAGGTTGCCTCAGGCATGGAATGTTCAGGCATCCAATCCACGCTTATCGGCGATTGTGGCAAGAGCTTTTCCTTCCGCCGGGATCGGGGTTCATCCCACATATCCACCATCACGCAATTCTTAACGTTCAGATACATTGGCTGGTAACTCGTATTCTTAGTGGCTGCAATGGATGCTGTTTGAGTTATTCTTGTTTGCATCCAATTCATAAGTCCAAATTGTCCACTCAAGGACACCTACACATTCCTTCTGCACACTGTCTTTACCACCATCTATCTATACTTCCTTCCGAATCCTCCGATAACCGAAAATATCTATACCATACAACACTGAACCAAGGAAAAGCACAAAAGCATTACTTTTCATAAGACCAAATTAACATAACCAACATGCCTTACATCAACACAGACACCCCCTCCAAACCTAATTCTTCTTCCGGCAATGGATTCGAGAACCTCGTCCAAGATCTAAGTGACGCTCTGGGTCCGAGCTCGGGCCTAGACTCCGATGACATTGATCCAATGGACATCCTGCGCTTAATGGAACGATATGATTCGAATCCAGATGAATGGCTTTCCTTTGCGCTGGGAGACTCAAAGAAGAACTACACAAGGAACCTCATCGATGAGGGCAATGGCAAGAGCAATTTGGTGAGTTGCTCGCACTTTGCTTGCATTTATGCACCTTGGATACTACTGGCAGTCTTTTATAGACAAAGATCTAGTATATAACGGATCTATACTGACATATGATATTCATCTAGCTCATCCTAGTCTGGAGCCCCGGAAAGGGAAGCGCAATACATGATCACGCCAATGCGCACTGCGTCATGAAGGTAGTATATTCTCCATAAGAAAGAGGTTATTCGCCCTCAAAGCTAACCACCGATTCAATCTCCTTGATGTAGATCCTAAAAGGCTCTCTGAAAGAAACCCTCTATGCTTGGCCAGACAAAGACAAGCTCCAAAATGGAGAATCGTCTCCACCTCAAATCAAAAAGGAGACTATATACGGTGAGAATCAGGTTACGTATATGTCCGACAAGGTTCGTCTGATACTTCCTGTTATGATAATTGGACCGATGATTATCTTGGTGTAGCATGGCTAACAATGAGTCGCATCTTACAGCTGGGCCTTCATAGGATCTCTAATCCGGATCCTAATGATTATGCTGTGTCGTTGCATTGTAAGTCTATCATCATATCATGATGATTACTATGGGTGTGATGGCATGCTAAATTCAATAAATTGAAAGTATACACTCCTCCCAACGCAGCAACGCACGGCTTCTCCATCTTCGACGATAAGACCGGCAAGGCCTGTCATATCAAGACGTCGCATGTTTATTCGGTCCGGGGAGAGCGGTGTTGATTCCAGTCGCTGTTTGTTCTTTTTTCTTATTTATACCACCCCTACTTATTCTTAGCTTGGTAATTGCGTTCAGTTGTATGGCGTCTTGTCATTCGATATCGGCGGCTGTTTGGGAATAGATTAGACGAGGGCATGTAAATATTCTTATAAGGTTGAGGAGTAGCTGACTAGAGCCAAACTCTCACAACACATCATAGCTCTTTCATTCGCTCAATCAAACCACAGTATTAATAAACATAGAATAACAGCCGTCAACTCAGTCTTGAGACACTCAAAGCAGATCAAAATAACAAGGATGCGCTCCTAATGTATGGCATAGTAACAGATTGTATCCGCAAAACGAAACAACACAGCAATCGGATGCATATGCATGTGGGTCAATAAGATACTGTACAATGCCAGACAAGGTATAGAGAGAACAAACAAGAAGAGAGTACTAGCGAAGATAACAATGCTGTGTGCACAAACAAAACAAAAAATGCAAAGCACAAGACAGCTAGCTAAGGGATAAAGATGAAACTCGCATTGCCGAGGAATGAATAGGAAAAATCAATGCTCAAAACAAACGCATTTCACACATAATATCGTACGTAAACTCATGACTATGACTCCCTCAAGCATGACCAGAAGCAGCCGATGAGCACATCAAGATCCGCTCAAACAGCAAATCTGGATTTTCCAACACTTCGGACTGACGTCGACGAAGGTCCTCGAGGCCGGCTGTAGGGTTCTGTAAATCTCCAATATAAGTACGTCGCTCGAAGGAGGTGCAAAAAGATATCAACCGTGATACCCACCCAGTCCTCCTGGTTTGGCACACCGTGTGCGGGCGGAAGTAGACCTGTGTCGGAGTCTTCTTCACCTGGGATAGGGGGCTTCCTGCGAATAGGTGCGGGGGTTACCGGGAGGCTAGGCCGTTCTTGCTCGCTGGGGAAGTCTGTCACCCGTGTATTGTTGGACCAGCTGAAAGTGTATCTTTCTTGGCCGGATACTAGGCTCTGTCCTGTGCTGGATGGGCCGCCGGTGAGCACCTGCACCTTGCCTTTGCGGGATTGTTGTATGGATTGGATGTATCTTTGGATCTCTGGGATTTCGTCCCAAGCATTAGACCGCGAGTAAGAGTCCCAGGATTCGGTTGGATCTTCGGATGTCCAGGACGTCACTCGAGAATCAGGTGACGGGCCATACTCGTCTTCCGTGCTTTCAATGAATGATCTTGGAAGGGTAAATGTAGTTGAGCTCTGGTCGTCTTCTGGGAACACACGCGTTGGTCTAGGCGCACGAGTCTCCCAGGGAAATACCTGGGCAAGCTTTTCGGGCTCCGGCTTGGTGCTTGGGACTTCATAGTACATGTTCTTGGGTGCTTCCGGGTAGGACTCTGGAGGCTGGAAGAGCTGCTCATCCTGCGACATGGCGTAGGTCTTCTTCTCCAAAGCGATACCTTCTGGCTTCGTGTTCAGTGGCGGAGGTTCCCTAGAAGCATTAGCAATAAGCAATTAGATAAGTTCCTCAGTGGCTTACTTGGATGCATCCCATTCTGCCTTGGGCGGCTCAAACGTAGTCTGTACTTCAGGTTTCGGAGATGGCGGTGCAGGTGGCTGCTCGTCAGGCACATTGACTGGCTCTGTAGGCTGTTGATGGTACTCGTGCTGGACATATTGTGACTGTGGGGGATGTGATTGTATGTTTGATGACATGCTAGGTTCATGTGCATGCGATTGCGGCTCGCTATGAGCTACATATGATGTCTCGCCTGATTGAGGATGTATGTATGCCGTGACATGCTCTTCCCCACGAACATACCGCGGAACAGCACTTATGATTGGCGCTTGCGCACTCTCAACCGCACGCTGTTCCTGTCGTCGCTCGTGCTCAATGGGTACACTTGAGCCTGCTACAGGGGTGGGTTCAGGAGCTGGTGCTGCCACACTCTGTTGAGGATGTGCTTGGTAAGTCTCATGCGTTTGGTGCACCTGTGGAGCCTCGTGCGCAACTTGTGTAGAGTAACTTGGTGCCGATGCTGGTGGTTGAGTTGGTGGCTGAGCTGGCTGGAACGGCGCGAAGTCCTGGTGAGAAATCTGTTGATGTTCTTGCGGGTGTTCGTATGGCGCTTGCGACGACGGTTCGAAGTGTGTTTCTTGAGCTTGCTCATGAGACACATACTCCGTATACTCCCTGTGCGGCGGCGGCGGCGGCTGTACATCCTCCTGGTGAGCCCCATAGAATTCCTGATGTGGGGTTTCCACCTGAATTGTAGGCACAGGCTTAGGTAGCTGGATTGGCTGCTGGTATAATTAGCTCATGGACACTATGTAGAGATTCCTCAAAGGCTATCCATGGGATAGTACTGACATTCGTAGTCACGACAGGACGATAGTGCCTATCGTAGACAGCCCACCATCTTCCCAGCAACTGATTATAAGGAGATTGAGTTGGTTCCACCTGCCTCGCCATATTCCAGGGTTTCTGAGCACCAATGAAATGAATCATGCTGATCGTACTTTGAAAATGCTTGTAGGCGGGGATATACTGGTAGTTCGCACTAGGTGTGCAATTGTACGAAAAGCTCAGTCTGTGCCAATCGCGAAAGTGCATGTTCAAAAGACCCTGATCAGCGCCATCGAAACTGATACCTCGCTCTGCCAATGCTCTGAGGGCAAGGTAATCCTGTAGATTAGGACGGAGCACCATAACACCGCTGTTGAAGCAATCCGGCCAGCCTACATCTGGAACCGCTGCGAAATCCACGTCCAACCCTAGGAGTTCATCGGGCGCTCTGAGTGCGACCACATCACAATCAAGGTAGACTATGCGCTTGTACTGTGTTTGGCGCCAGAGCTCGATCTTTGTGAAGGTTGCGATCAAGTCCGGCCGATCCATGAGCCAGAGGTTCGCTGGAGTGATGTTTGTCAGAGGGTGCACGGGGATTAGTTCATCATAAACAGCCTAAGGCGTGCTAGTCAGTGACTGGCCCTGTGAGGTGGGAATTGTTTAGCGTGAACGAAGCATGCGCGCGCACCTGAAGTTCCTGGATTGTTGCTGGCTGCAAGCTGTCCGGGGTGAACAGAGCAACCAGCTTAGCTTTGGAGCCATTGTCGCGGAGAGAATGAGCAAGAACGGTGGCGCCTATAGATTGAGTGGAAGCAAGTCAGGAAGGGAGCTCTGAACGGTAGTCTAACGGTCACAGGAGCAAGCATACCTGGGAGATAGTGATCACTCAGTAGAAGCTGTTGGGGGACCAATTAGTAGCAGGCAACGTGATCACGGGATGAGGAGGCGGAACATACAGTGCAGTAAACGGCACTTCCTTGACCCATTGCGGCGGGAGGTGAGCCGCGCGATCCACGAGACCACCAGCTACGAGAAAAGGGAGTGATGCAAAGACACAAAAACAAACGAGTGTGAGGTGCACGAAGACGAGATGGAAAGCAAAGAGGAGAGAAGGCAGGTTGAGAGCTAGTCTAGGAGGTACTGAGCTAGTTCACCCCCAAATTACTACGATCCCCCTCACTCGCAGGTGACGTTTGGAGCTAAACCCCGCCCGCCAGCATAATCAGCAATCAGCAAAGTCGGGCCCGGCTGTGAGCAGTCCTTGGGAGGCTGGGGAAGTCAAGATGTGGATGGAACCAGACTTCTTTTCTGGTCGGATTTACGAATACCCACACGACAACTGAATTGAATTGCTCTGCTTGCTGGATGATGGGGAATGGAGGATACAAGAAAAGAAAAATAATAAAAAAAGGATAGCTCGTTCGTGGCTCGGGACTACTACTCTGGGGGAAGGAAAAGTCAATGCGCGCGCACTGGCTGGGGATGGTCTGAGGGGGGGGAGAACAGGAGCCAAAGCCAACGCCAGGGATTATTATTGGTGAGGAGCGGCAGAGCTCAACTGCATCAGGCCGCGTCCCCGAGCCACCGACGCTTGCTCCTCCCGGCCGTTTATTCACCGGATGTCGGAGGTGATGCACGTTGCGTTGCGAAAACTCCCGTCTATTTAAAGGAGAAAGGGAAAGAAGCTGTGGAATTCCGATTGCAGACCAGCCTAGAAGCCAGACCGACAGCCAACCTCCGCGGATGCCCCTTGCATGTCCGCACTCTTTGTTTGCCTCTTGGAGTGCACCGATAGCGGTCTCGGCGCGGAAACAAGAAACCGTGTACCTGGCTTTGTGTCCCCCTGCACCTGCTGAGCCAGTCTCGGCAAAACATTCACAACAACTAAGGAAGGACTAGGCCAAAGGGAGGGCATCCGTCCTAAAATAGCAATTCAAGCAAACAACACGATCGGATCAGTTCACTTCCGAAGAGTCACTACAGCCGTTGGATAGCAAGCCTTCATAACCGCCCCGATGTCCTCCTTCTCGCCCTTGACAGCCCACTCAACGGCCTTTTCCAAGGCAACCTGGCTCTCCCGTTCCATCGGAGTGAAGTGTCCCGTGAGTGGAAGCTCGACCAACTGACTGTCTGCGACAAGGTAATCGGCGAGGCCATCCAAGCAGATCTGCGGCTCCAAGGCAATGTCTCCCTTGCCCCAAATAACGGTCGCACAGGCTTTCAGGGCCCCCTTGGGTCCGTCATCAAACAGTCCAGCCCCGCTGCTGGCACGACGGGCACCGCTACCGCTCGCGATGCTGTGCAAGGCAGTAATCGTCTCAACAGATTTGTCCCAACGCACGTAAGCAGTTCCATCTCTGTAATAGCAGGCCATGTGCTGGAAGCTCGACGGTGCGCGCTCATTCTTCAGTGACTCGGGATATTGCTCGCCATCAGCGGTCTGAGTCCTGGATTCTGCAACTGACGGGCCCAAGGAGCTAGCAAAACACTCCGCAGCATCCTGAGATGTATACTCCCGCTTTCCGAAGGAGCCTCTGTGGATGAGCTTCAGAAAGGAATAATTTCCACCCCTTCCGAAAAACCGAACGAGAGGCATGGGCAGCTGCATAGCAAAGATGTACTTGGACTTGAAGAATTGCCGGTAAACGGGGCTCATGGTGGCAAAGGCCTTGTAGATCATCGAACGCGATTGGATCGGCGAGCGCGAGGCCGTCTTCAACATCTTAACAGATGCAGACAGCAGACGACTAATGTTGGACGTGGCAAGTGCAGGCTAACATCATCAGCACAACCGAACATACCCGTAGAATCTCAGCAATAACGTACCAATGGGCCATTACTCAAAATAAACCGATCCGCCAACTGAGGAGCTTCAGCCGCAAGTCGCATAGAAACAACACAGCCCCAGTCATGCGCGACAACAACTAGCTTCTTCTGGCGCATACCAGCCTCCGTATCCACGCCATATCTGGCTCTGATCGCAAGGATGAACTCCGTCAGACTCTCGAGCACATTAGTAGGCGAGTAATCAGCCAAGCTATCAGTCCCACCATAACCAGGCATATCAACCGCAATAAGCGTCGCAGACTGCTGTAGAGACGAAGAGCTCAGAAAATTGCGCCAGATGGCCCAGCTATCGGGGAATCCATGGATAAAGACAACCACGGGTTTCTCCTGATCCACCGAGGCTCCTTGGTCATTGCAAACATAGTGAAACTTGAACCCGTTCTTCAGGCTAAGTATATGATGCGAAAAGCCATCCCAATCCTTGGACAAGTCCCAGAACTTGTTGCGCGCTAGGATTCATCATATGTCATCAGCGTTATGCCCCCGCACAGCCACAGCATGGCACATAGAACAAAGAAAAGCAACATAGACAAAACTCTTACCGATTTTCAACTCCAACTCCTCTTTCTCAGTAGTCTGCTTGAAGAAATACCCCAGTTTCACAGCAACAAGGCCATAAAACAACAGTCCGCCCAACCCATATGTCAGAATCACAGCCGATTTAAGCTTTCCGAGCAACCAAGCTGTGGGCGTCATGATGCATGCATGTATGTATTACTACCATGCAGACAAAGAAATTGACAATCAATCAAAGAACAGCCAGTAATCGCAGCGCTTATTGACCAACACTACAATACTAAGTGAAGTCCAACGACTGAAAGATTGCAAAAAAAGGAAACAAAGAAAGTGAAGGCTGACGACAACAACTAACCAGCGGAGGCCGAGGCAAATTTATAGACCAGAGCAAAGCAAACAGAAGATCCACCTGACGGAACTAGTCCGGATAGGATAGGGGGAGGGAGGGAGGATCTTAGTGGAAAAGATGGAAGGATTGAGGTGGAGGGGAAACGGTTCTTGGCTGGTGAGCAAGCATAATGGTAAGTGTGTGTTTGATAGCCTTAAACTACCCAGTGCTGGTTAGTGCTTGTCTATTAATGGGGCAAATTCCGAGACTGGAAGAGGTCTCCGCCACCCAAGCTCTTGTTTCTCTGGAACTAACCAAAGTAACTCTATGGGAGGAAGAGACAAGAGGACTGGGGCCCGATGACCTAATACCCGCTCAGATGGGACCCGCAACATGTGAAACGGGGCCACAATTAATTCGGAGAGTATAAGGATTTTTGTGCAGTGGTGTTTGGTACAGGGCAACAGCATAACTAAGAATTTGAGATGTGGAATTCATTTTCGGTTTCTCGTAAGTCATATATACACACATCAATTGGCAATTCCAAATTTTCGTCTCATCCTAGCAAAAGCTCCAAAACGCCATATATATCGTACGTTCGTTAAACATTGGGGAATAAGACAGAAAGCAAAATAGCAAAACCTGACAGTCATCATACAAAGCTAGACCGAAAAGCCCAGGTTATGTCGGTTGTCGTCAACTAGGCGCCCGTACCTATTGGATGGGTTTTTAGTATCAGGAAAGCAAAAGATACAAAGAGTGCACTTACTCTAGTAAAAGTCGGAAGAACCAGACCTCCATGTCCTCGTTCCGAAGAGCTTTCTGCGCCCATTCCCGGCCTTGCTGAGCCAGTCTTGGTGCGATCACTCTGCCCTCTTCTTCGGACTCAAAGTATCGCATTGCCTCCAGATAATCATCTCCAGTTAGGCTCAAAGGTACGTAATGTGTCCAGGGTTTGAGCCACTCATCATGCCACTCGCGGAAAATTGAGACCTTATGAACGAGACTCCTGCTGCGTAAGAACGCATAGAACCGACCACTGAACGCATTCCCATCCATGTCCAGCAGATGTTTGTACGCCCAAGCGTCTTGCTGATCAACCGGTTCCGCCAAATCAAAATACTCTCCCTGGGCGGCACAGTCCTTGTCATCACATTGGCCAATGTACGTGAACCGAACGTCGAATAGATCAGCAAAGGAGTTTCGACCAACTCCTCTGGCCTTCCATTGGTTACTTTCAGTCTTGGACAGTATCTTGGCTGTATTGAGGGCATTAACATTGCCGACGAACAATTGTCGATGCTGCCGCCGCCAGCCTCCAGCTCTGGAGTATCCTCCAGTTGTTGATCCTCTCCAGAACATCTGGCTGCTCTTCTCATTCCACTCCATATCTTTGTCTTCTTCGTAAGGTACCTGGTCAGACCAGTACCAAGGGCTTGGGTACAGGATGTCCTGGTAGCTCGAGATCTTGCTCTGCGAGAAGACCGGGAACAAGTCATGTACAGCCTCAAACCTGTTTGGCCGGTCAAAGAACCCATACTTGTGGCGGAGGGAAGGTGAGTTGCAAATGTCAGAAAAGGCGCTAGTGTTGTATATAAATCCTAACTCGCTCTGAGCGTAGGAGTTTACATTATCCGCGGCCTGCTCATCAAGAGAGCGGACCGGACTGTCGACTGGACAAGAAGACCGAGAATAACTCCACGTGGACTGACGGGTAAATCGATTGAAACGGGTAGTACGCACTTCATCAATGCGGTCACCCTTGTTCAAGTCGCTGGGTCTATCTGACCATGCATTTGTGGGCATGGTATTCGTAACAGTAATTTGAGAGACTTGCTCTCTCGCAATTGCAACCAGCCTCTGGAGATCTTCGCTGGGTACAACGACTCGCGGCTCATCGAGGGCATTGAATACAAGATCCATATCAGGCAGATACTCGACAAAACTTTCAATCATCTTAGCGGTGGCACTGCGCTGCCAGCTCTGCTCGAACGCTCCGCCTTCCACCAGTGACACAGATCCATTTCTGATCAGTACCCCGATCATAGAATTGTCGAAGCCCAGCGTCTCGCGAGCCCGATCGCGAATAGTCTTCGGTTCGAGGGCCCAGAATGGCAATAGAGCATGATAGATTGTATCGTATTCATCAATCAGTTGGACCCCTCTATCTTTAGCAAATTGAAACCATTTGTCGAAATGCGGGGGCGGGTGCATGTTGTAACGCTCTCGATATTCATTGACAGCCTGAGCTAAGGTCTTCGATTGACGTGACAGTAGCCGATTGAATTGCTGCTCCGCATTATTAACAAGCGATGCAATCGGATGAAGACTGTCCGGCTGAGCAGCCTTTCGGAGGCCAGACTGTTCAATAAGCTGGGCATTGGACGGTACGGGGGGCCTCTGCAAAGTAGTCGGAGGCCGAGAATCGGGAGAAGGATAGAGGTCCACAATAGGTGAGGGTGAGGGGCTGGGACCTTTGAAGAAGATGAGGAATAGGGAGACGAGGACAAATGTGCCCAGCCAGACCACAAATCGTTGGGTTCGCATTCTGCCACCAGGGCGAGTCTACGCCATGCAGAGAGACGAGGTTTGTTGTTTGTAAACAAACCGGGAACTAAGCAGAGGCAATGAGATAGAGTCTTATCAGTCCCTCGAAGATGCTTCAGTCCCCTGATTCAGCGAGAGACCAGAGCCACCAAATCTCTGAAGAAAAAATTTGCAGTAAGAACAATGGTCAATGACGAGAATGTTTCACAAGCATTGCTAGCATTCCATTGATCTGCCTGATGGACGAAGAACGATGACGGTATCAACCAGCGGGAAACTTTATCGGTCGGTCCCTCTGGCAATCCCGTGCACTATACCCGTTTGGGTATTATTAGTGAGTGTCCGTGCGCGGTTGTTACTACATCGGGCTAGTGGCAGAAGGCTATATACAAGATGAGCACGCGAGAGTCAAAGACTAGATAGAGGTATTCTCTTTTGCCTCAGGCAGGAAGATACCTCTGTCGAAAATATTGGGGTTTCTGCATTTACTAAAGGCAAGCCTTACCTGCCTGCAGTAAAGTACCAACTTACATTGATCAAATTATATATCCTGAAGGACACTGATAATGTCATCCTTAAATTCACCATTTCCCCATCGCAATACAGCTGAAAGTTGCCGTAAGAAATTCAAAGAACCGTCTTCCAATGTCGTTCTCCAGGTTCCCAAGCACACCATGTAAAAATCTTCTTCTCGGGGCTTTTGGAAATGAATCCATAATTCGTGAATTGGGCCCTCCGTGGTGACAGAGAAGGCGAGGCGCAACTTGGTATTAGGCAAATCTTGGGTTACCACAGGGCCGTCTTCAGTAATTTCTTGGCCCTCTTCGTCCAAATCTTGGAGATCCGAAAGATTCTTCAAGATTTGAAGTGCTGCTGAACCACCTACTGCAGCTTGATTCTGTGCTTGGTACAAGTTCCCACCAGTTGCAGCAGCCTTTGCTTCGACTACCAGAAAAGGGAATCGAAGGCCAAGAGGTGTGACATGGGGGTCACTGATAAGGCTGGAGGTTTCTTGCAGGTCAACTAGAAATCTTCGTGCAGCGCTACGGCCCTTTTTAGGTACAAGGGCGTTTGCTAAGTTCTCATCAGACAAACCGACACATATGTCTGGACGTGGATCTTTAAGCTTGAATATAGGAATGGTTAGTTCGACTGTGTTTCCCGGTACGATTCGATGTGACCGGTCTCGTTTCCGCGGGATGGTAGAAAGAGGATTATATACTGGAGGTTTTAGATCCTCACGCCAGTCTAAAGAAGTTAGCATGGCCGAGTTTGACACATCATGGCGCTTACCTCGATTGCGCGCAACTTCGAGCCCATCGGGTTTCAACTCGTCAATTGCCGTGTATAATGCTTCTGTCCATTCGGCCTTCCCTGATGGTTTTCTGACCAGTTCTTTGGATTTATGCCAAAGCTTCTCAGAAACCTTGTATAAATTACTGTTGTTAGTATCTAAGAGTACATTGAAAACCTTATTCTCTGTCTCATGCTGAATGTCCATGGGGATCTCATCATCAACAAAGATATTTGCACGCCGGAGAAGTCTGTAACGATATTGCGCGTCACTTAGCCTGGAGGGGCTGCTGGACCGCGACCATTGTGAGGAGCGGGTGGATGGGGAAAGTATTGGGATCTCCCCTGGTATGCCGCTTGTGCTCTGCTCTGAGGCCATATCGAGACGCGTGATCAGAGAGACAGGGCGTGTGTTTCGGTCATGCTCCTTGAGGGCATCGGTTGTGAGGCAAGCGGTTGTAGAAACGAGCTTGGAGGGGAGGGGCGTAGGGGAGCATGGCCGCTTCATTTGTGTCATTGCGCAGTGTACAAAGACTCTTGGGTTTTAATGCAGGTGAAATGTCAGGTGCTTCCCAACACAAGCGAAAGAGAGGATGACACGTCAAAGATGCTAACAGGGCGATAAAAGGGTCACCAATAGATACTACTGCGCTATTCGATACGGCCAGTGTTTGGTTTCTTCCTTCGAGGCCGTGCTGGCGAACAGGCTAATGATGTTAGGCTTAGTACCCTTCCTATAGATAAGGTACTAAAGAAAGATGATGTACAGAGTACAGATTACGGAGTAATACTTAAGGTAAGGCCTTGTTTGTAGTACAGACAGATACCCTACCGCCTTTCCAATAGATGATTTTCTGCCTGAGGAGCACGGTTTCTGTCTCAAGCTTGAACGGGTTGAAATGGCAGGCGGTGGCAGGCGGTGGAATTCTGTCGGTTTAGAAAACAAGCCTTAGTTATCTTCAGGTATGAGTGTAGCGTCTTCCTATTACTGTTTAATCGGCCCTCCCAGGATTGGAGCCCCCTAATGACTCTTTCTTAGCTCAAGCTCTAATACTATTCAAGAATTGTGGAGTCAGGTATTACTTACCAGGCAAGAGGGGTAGATCATCTCCAGCTTTTGACTCGGGCAGTAATATTGTCTATCTAATCTACCTGTTTCTTAAATCTATAGAACCTTGGTTGGGCCTTTGCAAGCTCATGACTATTCGTTCTACGTAGTACTAATGTTACTACTGGTGATATGAACGGAAAAAGAGATGCGATCGATATGATCTAGAAGACTAGAAGACACAGAAGAGAAGGGCAGAAGTTGTACGGGGAGAAACTATTAGGAACAATACATCAGAGATAAGTGGTCCAAGGATCAGTATACTAAATCCAACAATTTCAGAAGATAGGCGCCGGGCTAAGAATAGCAGCAGAACGAGGGGGTCGCGCCATGCGCCATGGCGCGGGAGGCTTAATGAGCACGGCTAACAGTACATAGTTCGCAGCCTCGTGTCTTTGAAAATTGAATTCCATGTTCACCTGTAGTTTTGAATGTAAGCTTTCGCATCCTGGGACTGTTGATTCAGACTTCCTAGCCCTTTACCCGATCAATCCGGCTGAGCCAACTATTCCCATTTTCAGGTTTAAAGATCCACGTCCAGGTATATATGTGTCGGTTTGTCAGATGAGAACTTAGTAAATATCCTTGCATCCAAAAAGGGCCATAGCATTGTATGAAGATTTCTTATTAATCTATAAGAGACCTGCAGCCTCATCAGTGACCCGCATGTCATACCTCTTGGCCTTCGACCAGCGGGTCGAGTAGAGTAAGACGAAAGCATATAGTTTTCCGGTCTTGCACGAGTCCACGGTCTTGGAGGCTTACGTTAAGTGTCAGGCTGCGGAGCAAAAGGACGTGTGAAAAAGCCAGTGTCGGTCCTTTCAGTGGATTGAGGAGGACCAGCGTCAGGGCTATAGGGATGAGTTGAGCGGGTGGCCAGGCCAGTGAGGGTATTGTCATCAGTGCGGAACGGTTGGCAGGCCGTCCTCTACTGGTACGTAGGTCTTCTTGCGTTAGTCGATCTCATAGCGGTTAGGATTCCCGAGCCGGTCTTCGGACACGGGATAAACCACTGGAGTTCCTCGTATGCTGAGCGCAAGCAAGTTCGATATAGTCCCACGGCGACGTATGTCTCGAATGGCACTGGCCGGTACAGAAGTCAGGTAGAGTTGGTGCAATCGCAGGAATACATCCAGCACGAAAAGCTGACAGTTTCGTGTGAAAATGTTGTATATCTTGTAGGGACTTCGGCCTTGATGTTTGTAAGCGTGTCGTCAAAGAAATCGCGCAGTGATTTAAGGCCAGTTAGATAATGACTTGCGAGAAGGTTGTATTCTTGGTCGATAAAGTTGTTGGGCAAGGCGTCAAGTTGGGTGTGGTCGTTGTCCATCGAGAGTATGTGTTTAGATGAAAGGTAAGGGTTGTAGATCGTGTCGGTTGTTGTATTATTTGTGTCCTCAACTTGTGCAAAAGTAGCGAAAGCGTCAGGTATTGTGAACGATCTGGTGGGTCAACTTTCTTTGGGGAGCTCTGAAAGGTTCTTTGGATAACCTAGAAGATGTGGTACATGCGATGAAGCTTCTGCGCTCTTCATAGCCAATGTGATAGAGGATTCCTTTTGTTCCACCCATTTGGTAAGGCAGAAAGATGGCCAAGTGGGAAAGACTGCCATGTCCCCAGGATATATTATGCAGCGGCAACGGTCGGTCTTTTGGTATAGAAGCTAAACTAGTGCTAGAAAGACTCGACATTCTGGCTCCGATAATGATGTTAGAAAATGAATGGAGAACATTCTGTGCTAGTTAGTACTTGCCACAGCAATGTCTCTGGTTATATACCGTTCTTGTCATTCAATCTAAAGGGGCCTTATGTGAAGATCCGATTTCACATTCACCCGTAGTAGTGAAAGGCAGCTTATAAGAAGTGAGCATCCTGGCTCTGTTGACTCGGAATTCTATTCTTTCACTGGGTAGCCTAGCGGTATCATTTGGAGGATTCACAGTCCAAATCGTACTAGACTGAATCCTAACACCTAAGACGAGAGAAGTAAATGGGAATCCTCTATTTATAACAACTCATTCACTACTAGTCTAAATTAATTTATTGAATTCCAGGAAACTTCCGTACTAGGTAGTTACTATATTTTGACTCTCCTTCCATACAAAATTACTTTTACTAGAGTAACTTATTGCTTATATCCGGGATTTACCGTACTGGAGTAGATAAGCGGGGGACATCCGCTGGCGAAACGGGTCCAGCCCATTTCTATTCCCCACCAATTTCTGCCAGCTCGGGAGTGGGCAGGAACCTATTCATCCACACACCATGTCTGCCCTCGAAGACAGAGTATACGTAACAGGATGAGACAGATAGAACTAACGTGCGGAATAATGAAGCACTGTGCTAAGAAGTTCTCCCGCTCCGGTGGTCGGCGCGCGCGGGCGGCTCATTTGAGGACGCCTAACAGTAGTTCGCGACCTCCCTTCCTTCCTTCCCTCAGTCATACTCTCACACTCGCGGCTTCGCCATCATCTACAACATGTCAGAGGTAGAGGAAATTGAGGCCCGCCTGGCTAAGCAGCTGGAGGAATATCGGAGCATCATACAAGGCACAGACCTCTACGAGTATATGGGGAATCGCGTGGTGGAATCCCGAACCACGAGCGGTAACTTGGTCGCTGTGAAAGTGAACCGGAAGGAAGACTATAGGCAATCGGAAGCTGAAATGATGCAGTATGCCCATGAAAAGGGGATCCTCACACCTCGGGTACGCGGTTGCTATTACGTGAAAAGGGGTGTCATAGCCACAGTGACTGACCGGGTGCCTGGCGATTCGCTTGATAAATTCTGGCACACCTTAACCAAGTCTCAAAAGAAGAACATTGAACTCCCACTCAAGCAGCAGGTAAAGTTTCATATTCTACATCGCCTGGCTTAGCAATTTGCGCTCACCTTTTCAAAGGTACAAGAGATGCGGAAACACACCCAGCTGTATATTGGCCGTATCGGCAATGTCACGACATATAATTTCTTCGACCGCCTGCACAATAATGACATGGGCCCCTTTGCTTCAGAAGAAGAATTTGATGAGTGGTGCTTTGCCAGAGTTAAGTTCCTTACCAACAGGCATTCTGGAAGCGATACTTGCCTAAGATGAGGAAGAAGAGCCCTTCAAAGTTCGTTTTGACACATGGTGATCTGTCTGCGCGGAATATTATGGTTCAAGATGGCCAGCTCACCGGCATCGTCGATTGGGGGTACAGTGGATTTTTCCCTGAATACCTGGAGTATGCCTTGGCAACAGTCATTCATGAATCTATAGAGGATTGGTGGCTTCCCGTGCTGAAAAGGGTGCTGGAGCCCTCTGGATACCTCCGGGCCAAATTTATCACTACCATCAGGGATCGAGGGTGGTAGTCATCCTTGTCCTCTTGTTCTCTCTTTTATCTGGCTTCTTGTCTAATTAATCCTGGCGTCATGCGAGCTTCTCATGTCATTGATATGATTTTCGTCTAGAGTTGTTCTTAACTCCCGCCTGTTATGTACATCTTATGTTCCCTCATGTTTCCTCATGTCTACGCTAGATACCCACCCCTACATCGTGCCCCCGAAGGGTGTCTTCCACATACAAATCAGGCCGAGGCTGTTTCAATTTGTGCACTATAATCCTTTTTTTTTTATCAATGACATACACATATCTCAATGTTTATATCCGGCAGGTTCCTTTGAAATCTCATTCGTGCACTGACCGGAGATCTTTGTTAACGCTATCTGAGTATTCCTGCTATTCAAAATAGTGGCTCAAAAAGAAATATGTATACATGATATATCTTCTGACTACTTTCTCGCGCAGCTGACCTTCAGAGGTCCACCCATCGCCCTGGCAATTCGTATTACCACCAAGAAGTGTAGCCCCTATAGACCGCGATGCAAGACGTGCTCTACCCAATTTCCTTGAATACCTTGAATCCAACTCAGAAGACTGATCAACCTCCGCAATCAGTGGATATGTCGCCTCAAGTCCAACAACGATGGTTGAAGCCTTCTTATCAGGTTTCCTAAGCAATTGCGAGTCCTAAAAGGAAACATTGCCTGTAGGTAGGTGACTGGTAGACTTCGTTTTCAGTCACCCATAGAATAAAGCTTCCACATGGTGTTGCGACACTTTGTGGTACCATGGTGGCAAGGTAGTTAGTTTATCGATGACTCGCTGCATCTTTCGAGGAGGTCAATGATATGATAAATTGGTAGTTTCATGTCTTGCTCTGGTTTAGCTTTGATTTATAGAGTACTCAGTGCTATATGCCTCCGATAATCGATCGCTGGAGCGGAGGGTGACCCTCGGATGTTAAGGTACCAGGCTGCGACTACTACAACTATTACTACTGACCACCACTACTACCACCTAGCAAGTTTACATATGGGCAAGAATTATTCAAGGCAACCTTGACTCACCTGGCTACTTATTGATAATGGATTACTTGGCTAAAAAGGGCCGATAATCAAGTGGACCTCTTGAAAGTGTTATGATGGCTTTTCCTTCAAAAAGTTGGATCAAGCTATATTGACCGCTCTGTGTCACCCCATCTGTTCCCCGGAGCTATTGCGACTAGGCGTAGAATGAATTTCTCCCAATATGGAATATAGCTTTTTGTATTGAAATGGAGCAACATGTATTCAATACTAAAAATCACATAAGACCGCTGTTTTATTATTATACTCATCTTGCTTTCCATGATATCAAGGTCATCAGCCTGCCCGTAGATCCAAACTCAAGGCCTTGCCGTCTTTGCTGGCGGCGCAGCATGTTCCCGCAGGGCCAAGTTCGAATCACTTCCCAAATCAATACCTCCTTTGATCTCCTCCAAGCTCGGCCTGCGTCCACGCTGTACTCGGACCCCAAGCAGCAGGAACCCGGCAGCAGCAATCAACCCAACGACAACTAGAGTCACAATCGCACCGATGACTCCTCCAACGACGGGGCTAATTCCTTTGCGTCCGGAGGAAGAGGCTGCGCTACTACTCGGGCCATCGTTTTCATCATCCAGGACACCCGGACAGAATACAGCTGACGAAGACGAATCACACTGGAGGCACCACTCCTGCGTCGAATTAAGCGAAAAGGCCCGCATCTCAGCCTTGAACTCGCTATAGGGAACCTCGATGCTGCTGGGACTGTGACCGAAAAGCGGGTAAGATTGGAATTCCGGTGATGTTGTTCCATTGCGCAGGAGGAACCGCACATAAAGCTGAGATGGGTCAGGATAGGTTGGAAATGATTGATTTTCCAGACTGAAGAGCTCAAAGGTGAGCGAGGCCCCGAGCGCAGGTCGTCCATAGAATTTTCCATTTTCCTGGGATGCAAGTTGCACGAGGGAGGTAAGAGCGACAGCAGGCTCGTAGCCTCCGAAGACGAATGTCAGTTTCCCACTGGTGCCCCGGTAAAGAACATTGGTGTCGAATGCATCCAAGATATTTCCGGCTAGTGTCTGGCCTGCAATTGTGCGAATGGCACTGCTATCGATTGGGCTTGACAATGATGTATCCGAGTTGCCGTTTGTTGCAAAAGTGTATTGATCGGCATACCAGCGCGCGAGCCTTATATCCTCTTGGCTGACGCTGTGCAACAATGTCTCGTTGTGCAAGAGCTGGTATTCTAAGAATTCAGAGACCGCAATGGAGTTCGCATAGTTGACCGAAGATCGGTCAAAATCGCCCGACAGGGCCTGGATATAAAGACGGTTGTAGAGCGCGTCAGACTCCTGTATCATTTGCTGAGCCTCAGTGCTAGCCTGGTAGTCAGCATTGGCGATCTGATGCAGGAAGCAATTATCTTGGCCTGCCACCACGACCGACTGAGGGTCGTCCGAGCTCACGGTGACAATGGGCGGATATTGGTAGCCACCCATAGGGGCAGTCGCAAAGCTGCCATTGGCCATGAGATACGACGGGTCAGGATATTGCACGTCGTAAGTATCATTGAGAGGTGGGTATAGCCCCTGCATAAAAGCCTGCGCGGACGCAATGACTGATGAATCGGTGGTAGACAGAATATCAATATCTTCATCTTCGAGAGCATATGTAGAGATGCTCTCGATTCTCGTACTCGGACTGACGTCGGTCGAATGGATTGCAACATATCGATCTCGGAAAGCAGACCCAGCTTCATACAGTGTGTTGGCACCATATGGTGTCAAAATATTGGGGCGAGGCAGGGCTGTCGGGACACGGTCTCCGTATAGAGTGTAAGCGAATACCGCCCAAACTTGCTCTTTCAGGTCCTGAGCTGAAGCCTGAGTAGCTGCCTGCAGGATTGCCGCAAGGGCGACAAACTGGCGCGTAGAAAGCATTGTGGGGCTTCTTAAAGTCGGCCTCTCATGTAAAGTGAAGATGTTCAGTCGACACTATGGGTGAAGACTACCAAGCACAATCATGTATACACGAATGAATGTCGATCATCCAACAGTGGGAAAACCCCAGATAAAAAGCATTGGCAGCACTGGTAGTTACATCCTACGGAACCGGGTCAAATAGAAAATGTTGGACCTGCGGGGAGTGCTCATGGAATATAGGGCTAGGAGGGTTCTAGAGGTGTCAAACTCAAGGACCGGTCCGTGTCTGGACTCCTCCAATGGTCGGTTAACGTCTGGTACAGACCACGGACGTAACAGCGCAATAATATTGCCTACAATCAAGAACCATGGGAATTGCCTTTGTCCATCCGACAATCAGGGCTGAGCTGCTCGGAACACACCAGTCCTGTGTCTGCATCCCTAATCATGCCTATAGATGCTATAGAGATAGGTTAACTTAGACCCTTGCAGGAGGAGGTGTTCTCGACATGGCTATAGTGGTAGACGCGTCTATCTACTGTCACTTGTTGGCATCCTCAGGGAAGGGTTCATTTTGCAGATGCCAGTATCCTGATAAACCAGCTAGAGCACGTCAGTGTGTTGCAATGGTTAATAGTAGAGGTCTAGAAAGAGATAGGAGGTAGTCTATGACGCATGGATAGAGTAGCATTGGACGGAAGTAACCTTGGATGAATGCTACCACTGAGGGGTTAAATAGTGATCAAATGATACACTAGGAAGGACTTTATAGTCAAGAAGTGAAGCCTATTCCGGATGCAAGATGGGGAGTGAACCAGAGAGTGGTGGAAGAAGAGAAGGAGTAACAGCAGAATCTTGAGTATAGAGAGAGAGATAAGTGAAGGATCAGGCACCCAGGCAGACAAGAGAATGGGTTTCCGAAAGAGGAAAAGGCAGGGAAGACGGTCGGGGAAACACAACAGAAGTACTACAACAGACCTGGGAATGACCAAACAAACATAACTGGATATGTTGTCTTTCATTATACTGAAAGAAAAATCAATAAATAGAATTTGAAAATAATTCAGAACATTAAATCCAACTAGTGTACTATCTATATCGTAAGTATCCCCAGGAAATAATGGAGCTGGAATCCACACCCCCAGCCGAGTTCCCCGACCGACCGGGCGGAGAGGGAAAAAGTAGGAAAAATCTGAGGGGGCGATTCTCAATCTAACACTTCCCAAAAGCCCTACGCCTGCGCCCTACCCCTAAGCCCTCATTTCTGCTCTTGGAAGTCAACGCCTATCCCTTCCATCAGGAATTGTTCCTATCATGGTCGACACGAGAGGTACAGACCCGTCTCTCGACGAGGCGGCCTCATCTGAGTTGCCTGTTCCCTCCGTGACCGATTCCGCCGCTCATGGTGAGTTCTCCTGCGCGCCGTTCGAAGGAGTCTCTGCTCCCGCTGGCCCCGGCAGCTCCCTGGGTAGATTGTCTTCAAATCAAACACCCTGGGGCCAGTCCTCTGCAGTGATGAAGACTTTCTGTATGCCCTGTTTGTTTCCATTCACAGGGTTGACGTGAATTTACGGCAGTTTCCCCCAAAATGTCTCACCCTCTCGAGGAAGATGACGGTTCCCTCTCGCCGCCAGCTTCTAAGAAACGCCGTCTCGAATCCGAGCCAGCTGACCTTTCACTACCACCTCCACCGACCACCTTAACTGCAGATCAAGTACCGGGAAATCAGATTGAAGAAGAATTGGCATCTGCACTAGGCTCTGGTGTTGTCGACCCCGTGGACCATCCCGTGGACCGTCCTCTAGACACGCCCGCTCCCATCGAAGGATCTGCAGAAAGCGCGGTGCCACAACCAGAAAGCAGTGCTGATATTGATTCGGACATGGCTACTGTGATCTCAAGTATCATGAATCACGCAGAACGAGTGGAGGAACAATGTGTGTTAGGCCAGCAGCAACTGGCGGAGACCTCCAGCGCGTCGCCTCCGAAGGGCATGGTGTTTGTCAAAGCCAACTCACATCTGAAGATTCAGAGTCTGCCCATTCTTGACAATTTGGTAAGTCGCGACTTACTTCGCGTGACTTTCCTTACAGGATTCTAACCCGCGATGTCTCTAGTCAACCCAGATTCTGTCGCTGCTAGCCAAGTCCTCGTATCAGGAAATCACTTCCTTCGTTTCCGAACCCGAGACCGAGAGTGGCCAAGCCTATGCGACCATGCGGTCGCTGTTCGATCATACAAAAAAAGTCTACTCGAGCAAAAAGTCCTTCCTTTCGCCTACAGAGCTAGAGCTCACCGAATCCTCCCAGATCGATATTATTCGCAAGGCCAATCTAGCATCCTTTGTTTCCAGTATTTTTGGCACGCAGGAGATCGGGTTTTCGGAACTCAACGATAACTTCCTCGATGTTTTTGTTCCCGAAGGTGGCCGTCTACTCAAGGTGCAGGGTGCCTTGTTCTTGGAACTTAAGACCCAGGCGTTCATCGCATCGATGAACAATTCGGAAAGAACCCGAACCGAGCTGCTTTACGACCTGTTTCCCGATGAGCTGGAGCAACAGCTGCTTGATCGGCGTCCAGGGACTCGTCAGCTGGCTCCAAGTGAAGCGGACTTTGTCAAGCGGGCCGGTTCGCGCCGTGACATTCTGCTGAGCGACGTCAACAACGAGGAAGCCATGAAGGCCTTGCCGGACAAGTACCATTGGGAGGATTTTCTTCGGGACTTGAGCTCCTACATCACCAAGAACTTTGATACCATCAGCAACCAACAGGTCTGAATCCCAATCATCCATCTTTGCACGTGCTCGTACTAACGATGAGCCAGACGAAAAAGACCGCTAAGGGTCGACAACCATCCTCGTCCGACGGAGACTCACAGCCGTCCAATGCTCCTTTGCAGGGCCAGTTCCCCGTCTCGACCCAGCCACCTGATGTTCCTGTTGATAGAAACATGCACGGCGACTTGGTTGCGCGTGCGGCTCGTGCGGCGCAAATTGCATTGCAAGGCCACGGCTTGAGACGCTCTCAGCAGCAGCAGGCCCAACAGAACCAGCAACAGCAACTGTCGCAGCAGCAACCACAGCAGCACCAACAACAGCATCAGATGCATCAACCCCAGCAACTTCAGCAGCAACCTCCTCAGCATGCGCCGCAGCAGGGGGGCCAGATTCTGCATGGCTATTCTGCTGCCCAGCCCACGGGTCAGATGCAGCATCAGCAGACTCACCAGCAGCCGTATCATCATAGTCCCGCTCCGTCCGGTTACCAGCAACCGCCCGGTCAATTAACTTTCCAGCAAAGCCCCCTGCAGGCCAACTTCCAGCAATACAACCATGTGACGCCTGCTTCGATTCCGCGACCCAACTCAGCCGCAGCCAACCATGGCTATATGCCGGGGATACCCCACTACTCGCAGTCGCAGCCGACTCAAGTACTCTACGAGCGCGCGCGCATGGCGGCATCTGCCAAGTCGTCGCCTAGCAGCCGCAAGTCTGGGTTGCCCAGCCAGCGTCGGCCGTGGACGACGGAGGAAGAGAACGCATTGATGGCCGGGCTGGACCGGGTCAAGGGCCCGCACTGGAGTCAGATTCTTGCCATGTTTGGCCCGGGAGGCACTATCAGCGAAGCGCTGAAGGACCGCAACCAGGTTCAACTGAAGGACAAGGCGCGGAACTTGAAACTGTTCTTCCTCAAGAGTGGCATTGAGGTGCCGTATTACCTGAAGTTTGTGACAGGAGAGCTAAAGACGCGTGCCCCCGCGCAGGCAGCCAAACGCGAGGCCCGCGAACGGCAGAAGAAGCAGGGAGAAGAGGACAAGGCACATGTTGAAGGCATCAAGGGCATGATGGCGCTTGCCGGTGCACATGCGCAGCCGGTTGGAATGACACACGGCCACGATATGTCGGCATCGCCACTGCCACCAGATGCTGGAGCGCATGCGGCGTTTGACCAGACAGCCGAGCAGAACCTGATGCAGACGCTGGGACAGGAGGTGCATGGTGAAGCCTTTGGGCAGCATCACCACCACCATCACCATCACCAGCATCACCCGCATCATACCCACCATCAAGACCATGTTGATCCCAATATGCATCTTGGACAATAAAGCGTCCGTCATGGCTTGTGTCTATGCTTCTGCTCAATGCCCATCTCATTCTTCTTTGCACTTTTTCCACATGTATCAAAATATGTTCTATGTTTCCTTTTGCGACATCTATTTTAGCGATTATGTTGATTACCGATGTGACTGTCCGGGGGAGTTGATTGGGGGTCTCGAGGGTGCTTTGCTTGCTGGGGAGACGAACGGCCATGTAGAGTTGGGGCTGTGTACCAACATTGTTCATTTCTTCGTAATTGCGAGGCAGCATTAGGGACTTAATGCAAGACTGTACTTTATGAATGGACTATTTGGCCAATATCAAGCATGTAATTGCTGTAGACGTAGCCAGAAAGATACACTATAGTAGCAGAATCGGGCCGACCGCGGACAAGAGCAGAGAGACGAATGGCTCTCCGCTCCGGCAGCGCGACCCGGCCAGTCGACTCTCCGCCATCCCATCCATCTTTCAAGTCCCATTCATTCTTCGTCTTCCTCCCACACAACCCCCCTGCAGCTTATTCCCTTGTGCTGGTAACTCAGAACCAGCGCACCACCGCCATCCCGGCTCATTGTCTGACCGCCAACGCGCTCTTTCATTCACTATTGGACTAGTTCTGGCCGGCCCTCCCTTGCTCGCCAGCCACCAACCACCCATTACCACCACTCACCTTCATTCACTATTAACACTACCACCATGGCCGACTCATCGGCTTCGCAACCTCCCCCTCCAGCTGCTGCTGCTGCTGCTCCTACTTCCGCTCCGGCTCCAGCTCCAGCTCCCACAGCGTCGCAAGATTCCTCCGCGACTGTCGTCCCTAAACAAGAACCAGATACCGGTGACAACAACCTGGATGCATCTATCGAACAAGACATCGACCTAAACGCAAACAACACCGCCAACATGCCGAATCAGAATCCCGCTGGCAATGACGCCGCCGCCGCCGCCGAAAACTCCATCCCCGCGCCCACCTCCGTGGATGCTCTGGCGGCCGCCGCAGCGCCTGCCAAGAAAGAAACCAGCTTGCGGGAGTTCATGGGCAAGATGGATGAATATGCGCCGATTGTAAGTTATCTTGCCTTTCCACCTGGATTCCCCTACTACGTCCCTTTTTTCTCTCCACTACCACCCCCGTTTACTTCCACCTCATATGTCTGTCCTATATCTTACTAACATGAATATCCTTAGATCCCCGACGCTGTAACAGCCCACTACCTCACTCTCGCCGGTCTCCCGCCTCCGGGTAACGGCCCCAATCAAACACCACCACACCTCGCCCGCCTCCTCGCTCTCGCAACCCAGAAATTCATTGCCGATATTGCCGCCGACTCGTATCAGTACGCGCGCATTCGCGCCTCCAACAGCTCCTCCGCCAGTAACCCCATGGGCAGTTTGAACGCCGCCTCGGGGTTGAACATGCCCGCCGGCGCTGCAGGTGTGGGATCCGCTGGTGCTGCGACTGGCGTATCAGGCGGCGATGCAGGAAAGGGCAAAGCGGGCACGCACTTGGGAATCCAGAGACCTGGGTTCGGAGGTGGTGGGTCGGGAGGTTCCGGACAGGGACGGACGGTGCTTACGATGGAGGATCTGGGTATGGCGGTGTCGGAGTATGGGGTTAGTGTCAAGAGGGGGGAGTTTTATCGGTGATATTTTTTCCTTCTTTCCCTTTCCACCTTGGGAATGCTTTGGGGGGTTTTGTTTGTTGCAAACATGCTGGATGTTCATGGGCATGGGCATGGGAATATGGGTAGATCGGGGACGGGGCGGGATGGGATGTGCTGTTTTACTTTACTTTTTCTTTTCACCTTTGCTTGCTGGCGTAAAATACTGGGCAACGGCCGAACGATATCCTGCATGTGGGCCGAGTTTGAAATATACAAAAGGCGTTTAAGGCGGAGTTATCGAGATATGATATGATATGGTAGGAAGGGCGGCAACCAACCCAAAGAAAGAAGACAATAACTGAGACAATAATAAAAGTGACTTGATGTTCTGTGCTTTATGTGCTGAGAAGTCCATTGACCTGTTGATTTTAAGGGGTGTCTAGTAGTTTACATGCAACACGTAGATATACATTGGTGGAAGAATAAGCAGTAAGGAACTGGATATAACGCCCGAGATAATAAGAAAAAGAACCTAGCCATGCAAATATGAAAATCACCACCTGTCTGTCTGTCTGCCTTGTCTGCTTGCCTACTATGTACCTTGAGCTGACAATCTACCTATCCCCATATCACAGAGGACCCAGTAAGATTCCAATGCAGAGCACACAGCAGGATAGCCACATAGCGAGACAACCATCCACAACCCGAAAAGCAATCATTTGTTCTTCGACTGCTTGTACGTGAATCTCTTCCGAGTCCTATCGAAACCATCCAGTTAGCAGTGATTCCATCATCATCATCACACGCCAATCGAATATCTCTTCCCCCCAGTACCTCCCACTCCTCCTTTTGGCACCAAGATCTTCCAACCTCCCCAATCTTCAATATCCCACCCCAATCTCCCCAGGAGAGAAAGAGATAGAAAGAGCAAAGAAAAAGGGAAAGAAAAAAAAGGAAAAAACTCACGCAACAAACTCCCCCAACTTCCTCCCAACCATCTCCTCCGTAATCACAACATCCTGATAAATCTTCCCATTGTGCACCTGGAACTTCAATCCCACGAAGTTAGGCAGGATCGTGGCGCCGCGCTTCTGCGTCTTGATCGGAGGTGTTCCTGGCGGAGCGGGGAGTTTGCGGGGGAGAGGGAGACTAATCCACATTATCTATTAGCATACATCTCTATATCCATCGTATGTGTGTTCAGCGGCGAGTTTAATTAAATAAAAGTCGAAGGTAATGTGGCATTGAGTTGCGGTGTTGATAACAGGTTATAATGTAGGTAGGGAAAGGGAAGGGAAATAAATGCGACGACGTACGGGACGATGTTCGGGCCTGTAGGTATGCGTTGTTAGATGGGATCCAAGTTCTCCAGGAAGATAGATAGAGGGATAAGGGATAGACTCACCCTTCCAGACCGAGCGAGAGAAGAGAGCTCGCGTGGGAAACATTTTGGTTTTTTGTGCTGTTGGCTGATGCGGACCGGCGGGTTTGCGATGGATGATTGGGATGGGTTTGAGATGGAGCGGAGGGCGGATGGATTATGTAAGATTTTCTTCTTTGGTATGGGGACTGGTCCATGGTCTATGATTTTATTTGCATTATATACACGGACCAGGTCTTCGTAGTTAATGGGTTATTTATTATTTCAATACAGACGTGGATTCATTAATATTCTAAGAAGCTAGTCTATCTCATACAAAAAGACGACTGCCAAATTGGTGAGTGAGTGAGTAAAAAAAGCGAAATGCGGTAGTATCCATATCTACTCCATACATGACATCGCCAATCCACTCTGCATGAGACAGAAAAGAAAAAAAGAAATCGTTTGCTTAGCATGTCCTGGTTTCGATCCAGGGACCTCCGGGTTATGAGCCCGGCGCTCTTCCCCTGAGCTAACATGCTGGGTTGGTTGAAGGGAGCTGTGTTGTTAATATTATGACTCAATGGGAGATGGATGGATGAATGTGTGATTGTTCCTAGATTTCAATGTGCGGCCGCTTCACGTGATATCAGATGTCCGGCTACAAACGGAGGTGTTTTTCCATCCTTCTACTTCTATTTCAGGTTTGTGGTTTGTGGTTTCTATGGTAGACTGTGATTTTTCTATTTATCATATGGTGTTGTATGAGGAATGAGGAACCTCAGTATCGTTGGTGGGTTGGTTCCGTGCATATCCTGTGTGGAGAGTGTGTAGTTACGCGTTACTAGATGCATAGATAGAAGCAGAATCTTCCTCTATCGGGATATATTCCAAGGGTTTAATATTCCACAAGATCAGGCTGTCCTCTGATTAAGCTTGCCAGCTCATCATAATACTTGCGAGTGATGTAGGCATGTGCTATCGTAAATCAGTGGAGACCTCGTATAGATCACATAGCACAAGTAGCAACTCTTCGCCAAGGCAGCCTCATGAACTTGGCTATTAGCGGGGCTGTTTTGTATTTACTGCGTTGTTCTAGCGACGGTCTGTAGGTCGTCGTTTTCTGGCACCTTGTGAGATCTCCACAGTCTGCTACTTGGGATAGTAGAATATAGGATGCATACAATCCCGCATAAGTGTCCCACGCAGAGCACTCTCTAGCATGATATATAGTTTACTGCGCTATAAGATTATTCCTAGCACACCCTGTGATGAAGTGATGTTTGAGAACGTCAAAATGTAAGTTATGATGCTAGTATAGAGTCCTGGAAGGTTAAGGGGAGAACCAACGAAGTCAGGCTATATCTTCGAGGATAGCGTGTAGCCTTGTCAAGGAGCAGACCGTAATAAATTAGAAGAGATGAATAAAAAGTCTGTACGGACAGCTTGATACTGTTCAGCTGTGTTGGTAAGAGAGTAAAGGGGAAAAAGGAAAAAAAGAATCAGATAGCATGTCCTGGTTTCGATCCAGGGACCTCCGGGTTATGAGCCCGGCGCTCTTCCCCTGAGCTAACATGCTTGGGTTGATGTATGAGGCTTCCCATTTCGGCACTATTAATCTAAGCCTGCGAGCCACGTGCACCGCGCTCATTCATGTGAATTGTGAACATGTCCTATCCTCAACATTAAGAAGTTTTATTATGCAACGGTATTCAGTACCATATAATTGATGTACATTTGTATATTCGCTAACACCAAATTGTTTCATATAGCATCTCAAATCGCCCGCGAGTTTTGATGCCTTGGCCTGCATATCGTACACTTACTCGACGGCAAGTCCGGACAGGATTTTGATCAAGTTCCGTATCCCTTTGAGCACATTCTCGTCCGGCCCCTGACCTGGTGTCCAACTGGCGTGGGCAAAATCGATCAGACGAAGGTCATGCACCTTCGGGGGATCCTCATCCTCATCATCTTCTAGATCCCCCAGGTCTCCCAGATCGGCCAGCTCGGCCATTTCGGGGTCGATGTTGATGTTGATTGCCTGGTGCGATTTGATTCCCTGACCGACCGGGATATCAACCACCTGGATTGACCCGCCCTGCTGGATGTGGAACTCCATGTTTTCCTCTTCCTCGTCTTCGTCTTCGTCCTCGGACTCACCCCGCTCAGGCCGGGGCTTTTGTTCCTCCACAAGCGCATGTTCCATCGCTTCTGGATCCCCCTCATATACAATCAAAACACTTGAAGAATACATCCGGCTTTCCTCTGACTCCAACACATGCTGTACCTTTTTCAGTTCGTCTGCCAATCTCTGGGCGACCAACTGGGAGCGGTCAACGGCCCCAGCTTTGGCACCAGCAAGGAATTTTTGGAACCCTTCTACAACAGTGTCTTCAGTGAGAGACCGCCCATACCACTTGTCGTAGCGCTTATATCCATCTTTCTCGATGACCTCGCCCCGCGCCCCCTCGGAACCCTCGTATTTCGTAGCATACGGATCGGTTTTACTTCCTTCGTCGCTTTCTCCACTCACGCCCGTCCAGACCTTCATTCCCGCAATCCGGAAGCCCAGCTTTGAGCTTGTCGTCTCCTGGGATACAGCATCTAGTTTCGCTCGCTTCTGAGGCGGCGCATCATCAGCCCATAGCCTTGCGCCCAGCTTCACGTCCAAAACATTCGGCCGCTTAAACCCCGAAGCCACGTTTTCCAGCACAATAGATATTCCTGTCTCCAGCTTCTTCCCGTTCGAAGGAACCCATGGTAGATCCTGCGCGGTACTCGCCGATCCCGAGGTTGCCGCGCTGGGCTGTGCTGGTGCGGTCGCGCCCGGCGTGCCCGATGTCGAGGAGTAGTCTGATCCGGGGAGAACAATCGCACCGGACTGCTGCGCAGCTTCGATGGCGGAGAACTGCTGCTGGTCGGCAGAGGTCAAAGTCCCTATGTATGTAGGGATAAACTCTCTGAATTCCGGGTGGAGGGCGCTAGACTCGTAAAACGCGACTTCTTCGGGGGTGCAGGGCTTTGCGATAAAGGAGCCGGACAAAGTGCATTGGACACCGTCGCTGTATTAGTAGCACGAGGTCAGCAACCTGTACCGACTCGTATGCAGAGCAAACGAACATTTCTTGGGGAGGGGGAGAAAATAGGAGTGCTGGCCATGAAGCATCTCGTATCTTGCGGCAAGGGCGGAGAGGCAGAACTTACTGGCCAGCGGCGGCATGGTCAAAAGCGACAAAGCTGTCGGTGTCCAGTTTCTGGGTTTTCAAGCTGTCCGACCGCGACGAAGACATATTGGGTGTCCGAAGAACTAAGGGATTATTCACTGTCCAACAGAGACCGTTGGATTCCAGACGGCATTCCGCATGAGTTGAGTCACGGGTAATGAGAAATGGAAGCGATGCGGAAGGGCGCAGGACGAGTCGGGTAAGGGAGAAGGAAAAAAAAAAAAAAGATGTATATGGTATATATATATCTAGGCAAATGCCGGAGAAGAGTAAAAGGAGGGAAAGGAGGCAATCAAACAAAGGAGAGAGTAATAGGTCGACAGGGCAAACAAAGGGTTGGCAGAAAAAGGAGGGACAAGCCACAGGAGGTGGTGGTGGTGAGTGAAAAGAAATGGTGGAAGTTGCTGGTTTTGTTCCGAGCTGAAGTGACGTGCAACCGCGGAGAATCATGCAAGCATCCGCTCTTCTTGTGCTGGACGACGGACTGACCTTTTCCCCCAAAGAAACACAAGGCGGCCCGAGCAAACCTGCACCGCCCAGGGATCCTCGAGATGAACTCAAAGGAATGGTCGGTATTAGAAATGTAATCATCCGAGAAGGCTCGAGTGCAGCCCAGAGGAAGTATAATATCAGGCGCTATGATGCCGCATGCCGGCGATCATTCGCTGGAAGTTCTTCTCTATACTTCATCGTTCCACTGGATTTCACCCGCGCTTTGCTGAGAAAATTACCAATAACCAGCACGTCAGCTTATACTGGTGCCAGATTTCAGCCTGCTCAGATATGGTGCCATAGAGAGTCATGGTCTAATTCACTCACTCATCTTTGACTAATTCTATTATATGGTGATGGTGAGTTATCTGCTTGTTGCATCATGATAGGAGTCTATGTACGAAAGCCATATGTCATCCATACGCTTAGGAATTTCGACTGGCACTGGGTTCATCACAGCCAGTTACACAGACAAGGCTGTATGTTCAAGTTATAGTTTCTCCTCCTTCTCTCTGTCCCTCTCATTGCACACTGTTGCGCTTTCATCTCCCGCTGCAACTTCTCACGACTTTCCTCAACTTCAACCGGTCCTGCGCTGGGGTTTCTCCTGCTAGACTGATCTGATCCATTGAGACCCCCGCATCTTCCGAATTTATATAAATGCACCAGGGGCTTGCGGCAGATGTTTGTTGGCATGTAGGACTCGACATGACCTGTAGACTCATCCTCCCAGTGCGTACCACCCCTCGCATAGCCTCGCGCAAAGGGGTGTTGCCTTGGGAATTGCGCCATTTAACACCTGCACCCCGCTAAATAAGCTGTCGGGCTGCCTTAATGGCAGCCTTGTCATTGACCCCTGTTTGCTCCAGCAGCTGGTTCGCAGATTCGGGCTCAGACACTCGGGATCTTGGTATGCGCGAGTCAGTTGATGCAATAGATTACGTCCCTCGGAGTTACCGACGCGGGCATCTGCTCCACGCGCTGGCAACAATTTGAGTAGAGGGGTGAGGGAGCTATGGATATTTGTACGAGGCTGGATGGCTTGGGTTGCAGCAGGGATTCCCTAGTAATGGGAAACCTTCACTGTCTTTGAATTGGTCTCCAGCAACAGGCCCACCGTGTCCAGCAGCATCATGCGGCTGAAGCCTTTGCCCTAAGAGTTGACCCCGGTTATCCTGGCAGACCACCATCGTTGCTGGCAGCTTCATATCCTCTCTTTGCCAATGCTCCATCACCGTGCGGATAGTATCCCCCTTCCAGTACAAGCTCGCAATATGCAGCGGCATGATGTTGGCATATGGATCTGCTCATACTTCAATATATCTCCCACGCCTGGCCCTTGTGCAGATAACTACTTTTTACAATCAGCAGCAGAGTCATCTCATAGTTACCACAATGGACAGCTGCCCCAAGCAAAGCGCTTTTCTTATCTGGATCGATTTCCAAGACACTCAATCACCCACGCTTGGTTCTCACCTAGAAACTTAATCGCAGCAGTCAGTAACGCCATCTTCCCTGGAATTCGAAAGGCCTAAATGGTAGGCTCGGAAGCAGCAAGGCTCAGAGATCTAATATGGCCCACTGTAGCGGCATTACAATATTCTTACTCACGTAACTGGAATTGGCTTTTGGTGCCCAGTCAATGTGGCACATATTGGGCTAATTCAATACTGTTCATCCATAGACATGAATCTTCACAATAGTTTTGATCTGTAGCAGTCCAATCAATGCGTCTCTTACCATTTCTGATGAGGTATCGATATCACTTCATGGCATGAACGGCATCTACCAGCCTAATAAATACTGGCATGGAAGGAACCGGCTTTGTCCCAGTCATTTGACAGGTGAATCC